AAAAAATGTGAATATACTATATGTTCATCTTCTTGAGGGAAAATGATAATATTAATACTCCTCCCTTCCTCCCAGTTCCCTGATACACATAAATGAGAAAGGATCAACTGCTTGACAACTATAGACTTTCCTAAAATTGTTCTTTAGTGTAAATATGAAGATTTTACTCTTTTGTTTACTGCTATTAAAGGTTTTAGGTAGATATTCTGAATTGCCGCATTCTTGACAGTTTTATTTTATTTGCTATGCAGGTAGCTTGTTCTTCTCGACAGAATAATAAAGTTCTTCTCTATGATATTGGTTATATGTCTTCCGAACCTGTTGAAGTAAGTACCTGAATTATAATTTACAAAGTGGTCATTGTCGTGTTTATGTGTATGACTGGATTCACGTGCATAGATATAGGGCTGGAAATTAATTGAATCAAATCAAATAGTGAAATGTTCATATTTTTATTCCAAAATCGTCGAACATGAATCTAAAGTCTACTTTTCTTCTATGTCTCTGAATTTGAAACAAGAATATTTGAAATACTAAAATATATTTATTTGATTTAATATTTTATAGTTATAATATAATATTATTTGATTTAGAGGTACTTCTTTTAAAGAATTTGTTTTTAAAAATAATTTTAAATTTATATTTGGAAATTACTCCTCTATAATTATGATGTATAAATCAGTAATTTGAATATTAGATTAAAAAAATTAATATGAACCTAAGTCTCATAACTACACCAAAGTAAATTTAATAAAATAAAAAATGGACCAAAATAATAAATTATATGTGTAATAACATTAAATATAATGAATGGAATGTACAGATGAATATTTGATTAAGTAAACAAATTGAATCTATGAATGGTTATATTTTATTCACTTAATACTGTTTGGTTTCTCTTAAATGACCTTCCAAATCGCATTTGAGCAAATAGTCAGAGGTATAATTTCCGAACTACTTCATAGTTAATCGATCTGTAGATGCATAAGTGGACGTTATAATCCTTATTCAGATTGTTAATCATGTTTTCCCTTCATTGGAGATGTTGGTTTTTGTGCACCAGCTATCCAGGATTAGATAATTTCCTTTGTAATATCATTTATACTTGTTTACTGTAAGTCTTAAGATTCTCAATTGTATATGAAGCACCATGTCTTTTTGTTCAATTTATTTATGGTATTTGTTATCTACGTAATCTGGTGATCTCTTTATGTTCACCCCAGTATAGGTGTTGGAGAGAGGGAGGTCTAAGTTCTCTCAACTAAATGATAAAATCTGCAATGGCCTATCAGATATTGCTTTCACTTCAGCAGATAAATCAAGGCTAGTAACATTATCTTCATAACTACTTACATCTTTTAAAATTTTGATGTCGAATGAGCAAATTACCTTTAATATGAAAAATAATTTTTTTCCTGACTGAAGGCTCCTTACTCCTTTTGATCATGTGCACTAAACAGCTTTATATTAAATGTTATCTTCTTGTCTGACTGCATTCCCTGTTAAGGAATTAAATCTTCATCGTCAAACAATCAAATTCCTTAGCCGTGAACTTGAAATGCATAAACTGGCAGAAGGTGTGCATAATATCAGGGACATTGACGAACCATCAACCTAAACCCAACCTATAAATGAAAAGAATTCAGCTTCCAGCCATTCAAGTTAGTATAGTTGTTAACTATCTGCTGGACACCAATCCCTGCCGTAATATCTTCCTCTTTTTCTTGTCATACTCCTACCTTCCAGTCACTGTTATCCACTTTCCAAAGAGTTCTAGTCGAATAAATTCCTACCTATCTAAACTCCAACAATGCCCCTCAATGTTGGACCTTTGAGCTGTCGAATGAATTTTGGTAGAAGGCTTTTCTCATAGTGCTCTTGGTAAGCTTGGTCGCTTGTTCATGGTGAAATCTTTTTTTTTGGTTGTCACTGTGAGAATTCTTTTTTTTTCTTCCAGTTGGTCGCCACAGTCAGCTAGTGTTCAGGAGATTGGCCAGCAAAATAAAGCAGATTGAATCTCCCGAAAAAGGTCAAATGGTGAGGATTTTCACTCTTTGTAGGAATTTACAGATTGGCCAGCAAATTAAAACAGATTCAATCTGTTGAAGATTAGATATGGATTCTTTTGCGAAGGTCCATTAATCCCAACTTGACCATTGTTGAAGCTCATAGGCGGACAAGAGTTTTCCCTTGGATTGCATGATCAATGAAGAGGTCACAATGATCCCAAAATAAGAAATAAAATGGATAACTCGATCAAGACCATTCATGAAGAGTTGCTGGGATGGGTAGAAAAACTTATTAGATACCATTGACTCTGGTATCTAATAGAGATTCCAATCCAAGCTGGCGAAACAACTGCTGCTTATTCAGGTACTGGTACTGGCTAATGCTTTTCTCTCTCCTATCGAAGATTCTCGAAACTCTGTTTCCATAAAGTAGAGACCCAGAAACTGCCGCCGTTTCTAGGACCGACCGACGCCTCACCTCAGGTCGTCGTATTGACGACCAAGAAAACAAAAGCGTCGATTCGAGGCGTCAGCAAATATTCTTTTTTTTTTAGTCGGAGAGAAAGAAATAGAGTACTAGGAATTCTCTTATCCTCGTTGAAACTACTCGTAGATTCCTTTACGTTCCAGGCGCTTTTTCGGTAAAGTGAGAAGTATAGTAGATAATCTTCTTTTCAATCCTGGCTTCTGGGGACAGTTGAAGCGCGTCGTATACGCGCCGGGATCTTTTTTAGGTGTTGGACCAGGCTTTCGAAAAAAAAGGGCTGAAGGCTTGGCTTCACAGACTGAAGTTAGAAGATCCACCGAATCGAAAAAGCTTTTATTGTGTCACTTAAGTTATAGAAGAATTTTGGTGAGGATTTTCCCGAAGTTCATCTCCCCATAGACATGTCTGTGAAGATGCGGACTACCTGCACCGGAGTAAAGGATCGTCAACAAGGGCGTTCAAGAGAAAAATGTTCTAGAAAAATTCCTAGCCCAATCATTTCATTTAAGACTTAGAGTTTGAATCAGCGGGTTGGCCAAAATGAGGATCCCAAATTGCATGAGGTCTACCCAATGCTAGATGCAGAGGCGCATAATAGATCGAAATGAATTTAAGCTGGTTTTCATTAAGATTCAGATCTGCAGAAGGGAGATAATGGATGTTCTCTAATGTATGGAAGATAAAGTCTTGACTGGGAACAGAAAGTGGATTCTAGACAAAAGGAATGATGAGGGGAGAAATTTGGTATAAAAAATATTTGGGTTAATACCACAACAGAATTAGTGGTTCTGATCTCTCCTTCAACCAACATATTTAACAGCTAGAATTCCTTCATGGGAGAAATAACTTCTTTTTAATGTGGTTTTTTAGTTGTAACTTTATGTGTGTGTACTTCTGCTGTTTATTTGTCCTTTTCTTTCTCGCTGTCTATGGATTGTCTGCCTCTTGATCTTTTTACTTTCTTGTTATATATGGTCTGCCTGCATCTTATTTTGTGTGAGTGTGCACGCCCTGTTTGTTTGTTTATTTTATGTATTTTCTGTAGATTCAATCAAATTATCATTTTCTGATTTCTTTATCTTCTTTCTTCCTGTGTATAGACTACTTGCATCTGGATTGGACGGTGCTATTTATATATGGGATAGGAGGTCGAGTAACTTTCCGTGTGTTGAACTTAACACTATTTCACAGAGCCAACTTAATAGTATCCAAGTCGACACTGAAAATCGGGTTAGTAGATTCAAACCTTATTTTCACATGTGGGTTAATATGCAGCTTTAAAGATATTGCCACATCTTAAAAATTTATCTTCCATCTTCTAACTACATTTACCGTAACTGAATCTGGTTGGCATTTCTTATGCTTTACCACAAAGTTGTCCTGTTTATGTTTCTCTTTTCACTGCCACCTTTATATATCTTCACTGAATTTATCTGCTGTCACATATTCCTTTACTTTCTTTCTTAAAACAAGCTCTGCTGATATGTTACATTTGTTTAACTTGCTTGGGATTTATTGTATAGTGATCATGAATGCTATTTTCCACTAGGTTTCAAAACCCTAACCCACTAGAAAAAAGAGAAAAATAAATATATCAATGCAAAAGAATATCGCACCTCGTAGTTATATAATTAATCAAAAGATTTGTGCAAAGTTAACATAGAGGAAGGTGAATTATTGTACAAGTTTCATGCAATGCAGCGTGATAGTTGAGCCAAAAATTCACTCTGCTTCCAAAGTACAATTTGATATTGAATTATGTGCAATTAATTTTCTCCCATTGTCACCATGGCTTTGAGAAGAGGCATTATAAGTTGATTAATTTCATTGGGCTCTTAGTAAATTTTGTGCTAAATGTTCCTTAACCCTACTTTGCTAATGGGAATAAGTCATTCAAACTTTGTAAGGATATTCTTGGTGATCCTTAACCCAAATTTAGCGGCTTGTGGTACAGATTTCGGTATGCAATCCACCACCTAGCTATGCAATATACTGGATTTGAGGGTGTTATTTGGTATGCAAGTTTGATATGTGGCATGTTGTAAATTTTCTTGAGCGCACTTATCATTTTTCAAGTCATATAGTAGAAAACCAGAAACTAGAATAATTATGCATTTCAGTATTTTTTTTCCATACTAAATACTTCAATCTTTCAGTTTCAAAATTTCTGAATACGTATGACAAAAAGCACATAAATTATAGACTAAACATCTTAATAATTTTTTTCTTTTCCAACTTTCTTCCCCTTAGCCTCAAAGTGCATCTTTAGCTAATTATGAATCCAAATAGTTCCATTTACGCTCCTCCAATTTACTTGAATTATCTTTATTGGGGTCAATATCACATTCTTTTAAGGACCAACCTTGTAATTCTCACAAAATTGTGAGAAGAGACGAACGTTTGAACGGATGAATTCTCCTAAGAGGTTCGTCATTTGCGACCCCGCATACTTGCAAGCAATAAGCCAAGTTTGGGGTACCAATTTGTGTATCGGAGGAAATAGGTTCTCCAATGTATTGGAAATTGATAGCATGAACTTT